ATCAGATTGTATTGTGTCCTGAAGTGGAAAGGGTTTGGATGGTGACAGCCCCATATCCTCATCATGATCTGATCTTTTTTTTTTCCAGTTTATTGAGAAATGATTGACATACATCACTGTGTGTGTTCAAGCCTTACGGCAGGATGGTTTGATTTACATATTTTGTGAAATGATTACCACAATAGGTTCAGCTAACATCCATGTTCTGTAAATACAATAAAAAGAAAAGAAAGAAAAAAGTTAAAAATGTTTTCCTATGATGAGAACTCACAGGATTTACTCTCAACAACTTTTATATTTTTCATACAGCCGTGTTAGCTGCAGTCATCATGTTGTGCATTCCATCCCTAGTACTTACTTATCTTACAACTGGAAGTTTGTACCTTTTGACTTCCACTTACCCCTTTCCCACCCGCTGCATCTGGTAAACACAAGTCTGATCTCTTTTTCCATTTTTTTCTTTCTTTTTTAGATTCCACCTACAAGTTGAGGTCATACAGTATTTGTCTTTCTCTGACTGACTTATTTCACTTAGTGTAATGCATTCAAGGTCCATCGGCGTTGTTGCAGAAATGGTTAGGATTTCCTCATTTTTTTATGGTTTAATATTCCATTGTATGTATATACCACAACTTCTTTATCCATCTATCCATTGGTGGGCATTTAGGTTGTTTCTATTGTCTTGACTATTGTAAATAATGCTGCTGGGAACATCTTTTTGAGTTAGTGTTTTTGTTTCTTTTTGGATGTATTCTCAGAAGTGAAACTGATGGATATTGTAGTTCTATTTTCAATTTTTTGAGGCTCCTCCATATTGTTTTCCATAGTGGCTGCACCAACTAACAATCCACCAGCAGTGCACACAGGTTCCCCTTTTTTCACAACAACGCCAGCTTTTGTTATCTCTATTTTCTGGTGATGGCCATTCTCACAGGCATGAGTTGATATCTCATTGTGGTTTTAATTTGCATTTCTTTCATGGCTATTATGTTGAGCATCTTTTCATGTGCCTGTTGGCCTTTGGTATATGTTCTTTAGTGAAATGTCTATTAAGGGGGTGCTAGGGTGGTTCAGATGGTTAAGTTTCTGCCTTAGGCTCAGGTCATGATCTCCAGATCCTGGGATTGAGCCCCGCATCGGGCTCCCAGCTCAGTGGGGAGTCTGCTTCTCCCTCTCTCTCTGCCTCTCCCCCCTGCCCATGCTTGCTCTCTCTCTCTCTGTCTCAAATACATAAATGTCTCTTCAGGTCCTTTGCCTATGTTTTAATTGGGTTGTTGGGTTTTTTACCATTGAGTTGTATGAATTTTTTTGTGTATTTTGGGTATTAGCCCATCATCAAATAGATAGTTTGCAAATATCTTTTCCAATTCTGTAGGTTGTCTCTTCACTTTATTGATAATTTCTTTGTGCAGAAGCTTTTTAATTTGAGGTAATCCCACTTGTTTATTTTTTATTGTGTTGCTTGTGCTTTAGGTGTCATATCCAAAAATTCATTACCAAAACCAATGTCAAGATGCTTTATTCCTATGTTTTCTTCTAGGAGTTTCAACTAGTTTCCTAGCTGCCCCTGCTCTGGTTATCACATTTAAGTCTTTAATTCATTTTAAGTTAATTTTTGTGAGTGGTATAGGATATGGGTCCAGTTTCATTCTCTTACACATGAACATCCAATTATCCCAGCACCATTTATTGAAAAGACTGTCTCCTCTCTATTGAGTATTCTTGGCTCCTTGTCAAATATTAGTTGACCGTATTGGTCATTTGTTTTGTTTGTTTGTTTTAAGATTTTATTTATTTATTTGACAGAGGGAGAGACAGTGAGAGAGGGAACACAAGCAGGGGGAGTGGGAGAGGGAGAAGCGGGCTTCCCGCTGAGCAGGGAGCCTGATGCAGGGCTCGATCCCAGAACCCTGGGATCATGACCTGAGCCGAAGGCAGACACTTAACGACTGAACCACCCAGGTGCCCCTTGGTCATTTGTTTTAATTTCTTTTTTTTTTTTAAAGATTTTATTTATTTATTCATGAGAGACAGAAAGAGAGAGGCAGAGGGAGAAGCAGGCTCCTAAGGAGCAGGGAGCCCGATGCGGGACTCGATCCCAGAACCCTGGGATCATGACCTGAGCCGAAGGCAGACGCTGAACCATCTGAGCCACCCAGGTGCCCCCATTTGTTTTAATTTCAAAGGAGCAGTACATTCCGCTCAGTACAACAGTCTACCTAAAGCATGTTAACCCCATGTATCAGAATAAAGTTACATGTTGTTATTTTGAATCCCTGACATTGTGATACTTGCTTTCCAGTTTCAATCTACTCATGTGTTGTGGGTACTTTTTTTTTTTTAAAGGAGTAAAGATATCTAGTTATGCCCATTATTTGCTAGTGATAAACTGACACTTTTGAACTTTTAAAACTATTTTCTTTCTTCTCTCGTCTAGACAGTTCATATACCCCCTCAGGAGGCAGAGAAGCCACAGGGAAATACAACTGAATCTTACTGTGAAAGAAAGGGCTGCACTTTGTCTCATCTCAAGGCTGCCTTGAGGCTGGTGCAAAAAAAAAAAAAAAAAAAAAAAAAAAAGCTGATGTCCGCATAACATGTATCTCTCAAGTAAATCAACCCTGTAATTCAACTTGGCTGCCTCTAAGCCATTCTGATTCCTGCCAACAAGAACATTAGTGAACTTAGTATCTCCACAGGTTTATTCATGTGTAAGACCCAATTCCTTATTCCTCTTCCTTGTTCCAGCAGCTGCCCGTGCTCCATCTGATAAAGTGGAAAGCTGGGATAGGTCATACAAATCCAGATCATTACTTAAACTCCAGATTATTGTAGGCAGTATTCTGTAGTTCTTCAGTCTGGTTTTAGGATGGCAAACAAAGTTTCTAGGGCTTGGATTTGGAAAAAAAAAATGCATACACTAGTAATTATTGTCATGAAGAAACATTTTATGAAACTTAGCTTATTCATCCTTTTATTATTCCTTTTATTCTTCTTTTGACAGTATTCCAGAACAAGTTGTGCTTTGGTAGGTTTCCCCAAATGGCATAAGACTGATAAAGGAAGGGTGCTAAAAAAGACATGAACCTAATTAGTCAAAAATTTGTAAGATAGGAATATAAAAGAACATGGACCATTTTTTCTTTCCAAGTTTGTCTACATGTTAGAATCACCTAAAGATCTATTTTAAAATTCCAAAGCCCAGGCCACACCTCAATCAATGAAATCACACTTTTTAACAATGGAATACAGGCATCAATAGTGTTTTGACTCCCCAGGTGACTCCAGTGTGCAGACAAGCTCAGAAATCACTGATCTAGACTAGTCTATTACATCATGACTGCAAGAAAACACAGCTGTGGCTTCTTCTCCCTAGACTCCTCTCCTCGCTGTTGGTGGGAGATTTTCTGCTGTCCAACCAAGTACTCTCATCAGTTTTGTCAACTTTGAACCTAAGCAGGGGCATTGAATGAGAGGGAAGTCAATCATTGAAAGGCAACACTCAACTAATCAAAAACCACAGATGCATATGAAATAGTTGATTGCAACTTTTTAAGTTACTTTTGTTTTAATTTTTCCTGATAACATGAGTTTTGTGTGTCAGATTTCTCTATTCCATTTTCAGACAGAGCTTCTTATGCAGTTAGTTTAATGAAACTCTGGTCTACCAGGGTGACATATTTTTATACTTTGGGTGATTGTTTTAGAATTCCTTCTTTGAGTTAGTCAACTTTAAAATGTCTAATGCAGAGTTGGTATGTGTTGATTGAGAATTGTCTATTTTTGCCTAAAGAGACACAGTTTGACACAAAGATAAGCATTTAAAATTTTATTTTCTGTATATACAGCACATTACTTATTTATATAAGCAATCACTGGCTGTCCAAAACTGTCCAAAAACTGGGGGAAGCTTAATTTTATATATAGCAACAACTGTTTACTCATTGGTGGTGAATTTACATGTTTGACACCCTTTATCAAAACTCAGAATCTGGCAATTGTACAAAAATCACCATGCTGGCCTATAAAATTTCAAAGTAATATTATAACCCAATAAAATAAAGATTGTGCTGTGTCTATATGTATCTTGAGAGAGATTAATTAAAGGAAATAAAATTGCAATTGAAGCTGCTGGATGGTTGAAATTATCTGAATAAGTGTGATCTTGACTTTAATGAATTAACAAGTAAGCTTCTTGCTATAAGTCTTTAATTAATTTTAAACCATATTTGATTTAGAAACCGTTTATACTTAATTTCTGGTCTAGTGTTCAATTAAAATCATCTGTAATATTATTTGCAGTCTCTAGACCCTATTCTTGCTTTGGTTATCTTGCTGCTTGGTCACTGCTGAGCAGTGGGGAAAGAAGGCATATGGCTGCAATCTTCTAATTCCTCAGATGCTAGGGGGGAATCTTAAGGGAAAATGTTTGCATAGAAAATGCATAGTTTTAGGGGTGCCTGGGTGGCTTAGTCATTAAGCGTCTGCCTTGGGCTCAGGTCATGATCCCAGGGTCCTAGGATTGGGCCCTGCATCGGGCTCCCTGCTCGGCGGGAAGCCCGCTTCTCCCTCTCCCACTCCCCATGCTTGTGTTCCCTCTCTCGCTTGCTCTCTCTGTATCAAAATAAAATCTTTAAAAAAAAAGAATATAAGAAAATACATGTTTTTTCTCTCTGATTTTATTTTTATTTTTTTTTAGACAGCAGGGAGAGAGAGAGAGGTGGGGAAAGGGGCATAGGAAGAGAGAGAATCTTAAGCAGGCTCCATGCCCAGTACGGAGCCCAATACAGGGCTTGATCTCACAACCCTGAGATCATGACCTGAGCCGAAAGCAGGAGTCAGATACTTAACCGACTGAACGCCCCAGGCACCCCCTCAGATTTTATTTTATAAGGAATCGTTTGGGAGAGGTGGTAGAAATAAATGAGAGCACCTGTTTATCATTAAAAACGAAAGACTGAACTGTTGCAGTTACTTTCTAAAATCACTTTTTTTTATAGGAAGATTTTGGATAAATCATTATCAAGGAAGCTAAGGACACCTGTGTTGTATTGAAAGCACACCAGCCATGAAATCGGAAGGCCCAAATTTGAATTCCAGTTAATCACAAATGTAAGGTAATATTTTTATCCCTCCTCTGTTAAAATGCTTTCTCAATATATGAAGTTTACATTTTGTCCTAGAACATATTTTCTTCATAAAAAGAGGTATATTCTGTACTGTCAGTTTTTATCATTTTAAGTGAGGACAGCCATGGTATTCTGTAAGCCAAGTGGTAATGAATCCCAACACAATGAGATTTGGTTTTGAAATAAGTCTTAGAATTAATATTTGAACGTGAGTGATATTTTGGGGAACTCTAATTCAGTGTCACTCCATATATAACAGTGATTTTGGGGAACAGGAGTTATGGTTTATAACTCTGTTGTATTATGTTCTTAGAGTATTTAGTTATATTTGGGGAAATATCCTTTGACCCATACTATTTTTGAGCCATGTAATGGGCTATAATGTAGATACTACTTAGGTAGAATAATGCAATTTCATTATAAGATTGCTTTATAGCTCTTTTTCCTTTCCTCCTTGCAGAATTTATCCCTCATATGAGAGGAAGTATTAACTCAGGAGGAAATAACACACCAGTGTAAAAAGAGATGCCCATTTTCCTTCAGTGTTTATCTTTGCCAGGTGATAGACAAGTAATTATTTTGCCTTTAAGGCACTGATTCTGAGTGTTAGATTAAGTAGACAGACTGTTGACCACATGTGACTTAAGCAGTATTGTTGGTTATTTTACCAAGCTCTGGATCACGGTTTGCTTGAAGAAATCTATGCTGTGGATAAACCTTTGGCAGAGATCAAGAGTGACCTGTATTGCCCTCAGCATTGTTTATACCACAACATTACTTGGTGGGATTGACTTTGAAAAATGACATTTAACTTCTAAGAGCACAGATCAGATTCAGGTATTCTTAAATGTAAAACTGATTTTGACCTACCCAAGAGCTATAGAATAAATCCTGATCATAGATGGGAAAATAAAGTTGCCCTATGGATTTTTCTGTGTTCCCTTCAGGAAATCCATTCTGGAGCATAAAGGTGGGCAGTTGGTCAACCCATTTTCTTTCTTGTGTGATATATCAGAGTTTGAAAATGTAGTCTATTAACCAAGACTTGTATTGGGATCATTGCTGAAGGAGGCTTTGAGGATATCATCATATCATCAGTATTTAGATGTCACACGTTTTTTTCCAGGCCAGATGAAAAGGTAACATAATAACCTATTACCCAACTAATTCAGGAGCATGGAGGAAAAATAGGTTGATTTGGACCAAACTCAAGTCAAATAACTTATAGGCAGACATGGCTGAGTTAGTTCAATGCGGTTTTGTTGTTGTTGTTGTTCAAAGAAGCAGACTTTCTAAAGATTAGAATCAACATTACTGGTGGAAGCAGGAAACTTAGGAGCAGGCCATTAGGTGTAAAATCAAAGTACAGCTGCTTCTGTGTCACGGCTCTCAGGACAGAATGATGCTCATTTTTTTGATGCTTATTTTTTCTCAAGTACTGCTTCTGCATAGTTGTATCAGCAAGTTATATCATAGACAAAGGAGACTAAGAATATACATGCAATTTCACCATCAGCCAGAAAGCAACATAAGTCTTTCACATTCTCAAATAACATTCATGACAGGGAATAGCATTCTGTAGTGTACTTCTACACCCTATCTCTTTCATTTTCTAAGTTCATTCGCTCTTTTAATATTTGCTTAGCAGATAAGGACAGGAACAAGAGAAGTCTAGTATAGAATCACTGTGTTTTTTTTTCCTTGAAACCAATAGCTTTTAGTGTGTATGTTATACACACGCATATGTGTATATATTGTATGTATTTAATATTTAGCACAGTAACCCATGGGTTTTTTAGACGTATTTTACTGTGAAGTATAATATTCTTATTTTAAAAAGTGGTAACATGACGTCTACAGTTTACAAATGGTTGTAAGAATAAGCATCACTTGTAACTGCCATCCATGGGTAAAAAATAAATAAGTAAATAAAATGTGGAAGAATTTGACCAACATGTCAAAAGCCTGTGGGTCCCTTGGCAGTCACAGCCTTCTCCCCACACGTGTCCTCTCTTCTCTGAGAAAGCTCTAGCTTTCCTTTTTTGGTAATCATGTCCTTGCTTTTCTTTATAGTTTTACCACTTCAGTGTGCAGCTGTATGGACCAGATACATCACAACACAACACAAATAGTTGTGTTGTATGTTTAGCAACTTTTTAAAAATACAATCATGCTTGATATATTTTTTAGTCTTGCTTCTTCCATTTGTCATCCATGTGGTTGACTGTAGGTGCAGTTTGGTCATTTTCATGGCTTTGTAGTGTTCTGTTGTGTAAATGTACCACAGTTTATCCATTCTGTTGTGTTGGATGTCTAGCTTGTCTGACCTTTGTCAGACCTTCTGCAGATAATGTTGCTAGGACCATTCTTAGGCTTTCTCTTGGTGCACATAGAACATGTATTTCTGTTGGCTGTAGTCCTAGTTAATAAATATTAATGATGTAACAGTGGACAATTAAACTGTCTTTTTCTAGATGCAAATTTAATGAGCCAGTAATTTAATGAAGAAAAAAAAACATTCTTTTCGTTATTTTAGGGTGATAGGAGCTGTCTAGACACAGAGATCACCACTTCCATCTAGGTAAATAAAAAATAGAGTATCCAGGATTTTACCTTTGTTTAAGATTCATATCTGCAAGTACATTTCATTGAGAAAATAAAACATTTTCATTTTTAAACAACCTCTAGTATTATTTCTAGAACTCTAAAATTAACAGGGTGAAGCAGAGCAGAGAATGTATCTTAAATTTCTTCTGTGTTCTTCACAGAGACCATGGCATTGCTAAAAAGATGTTAAGTCCCGACTAAATATATATTTCCTCAGTAAGTATTCTTTGGAGTAAAATTATTTGTATAAATAGGTATAATTTGCAAGGGACAGTCCCCTAAAAAGGAGGCAGGAATATGTTGGTTTAACTTAAAACTGTGTCTGTTTTGAAAGCCTCTTTCCTGAAACAGAAAATAATAGTTTGGATGATTCAGTGCAATAATCTGTTTTCTCCATAATTTTTCCTACTGCATTCTTACTAGCCCTAAGTACAACTAATATTAGTGTATTTCTGAAGTTTTTTTTTTTCTTAATTATAATATGGGTCCTTTGCCTTTTGAAATGGAAGACAAAATACACAATCCAGTACAGTGCAAGTGTGTCACTTTTGAGGGTCCTGTGCTTCAGAGCATATGTCTTTTAGGGCTTGTCCTGATTTCACCAGTAAGGTCAGATCATGGTAAATTGATTTCAGTATCTTCCTGTTTTTATGGGTTTCATACTACAGCCTCTGCGGAAGAGTCAAAATAATGTTTGTCACACTATTCTCGGTTAGCTGAAATCTTGTTCCTGTTTATAGAAAATGACCATTGGGGCGCCTGGGTGGTTCAGTTGGTTAAGCAACTGCCTTCGGCTCAGGTCATGATCCTGGAGTCCCGGAATCAAGTCCCACATCGGGCTTCCTGCTCAGCAGGGAGTCTGCTTCTCCCTCTGACCCTCTTCCCTCTCGTGCTTTCTATCTCTCATTCTCTCTCTCTCTCAAATAAATAAATAAAATCTTTAAAAAAAAAAGAAAGAAAATGACCATTGGTCTAATGCAGTTAGCACAAACACTTTATAACTCATTCAAGAACTATTCCAAGTGGTGAGGAAAAGGCACTTTAATTTAAAACTTATGTATCCAGGATCAGGCTAGGAGAAAATGCTGCTTCTTGTGAATTCAGCATCCTACCCACACCACAATTCATTTTGCTCCTTTGCTACAACAAATGTGTTGGAATTCTTTTTTGCAATAAAAAGATTCTTTTGTCTTCCTTAGGGATTGTAACTTTCAAAAATCGCTGTTAAATATATTACTACCTTATTTAAACTATTTGCTTCCAAAATGTGCAGTACTTTGCACAGAGTAAGTCACTAATCCCCTGGGCACACAAAAGGAAAATGTTCTGCTGGGTTTCCCGTTTTATTTTGGTTTTCTGTGGTAGGTTTATGACTTGATGCCCAGCTTTTTTATAGATTCACCTCTCACAGGACACAATTCCCTTTAATGTGTTTTCCATGCTTATGGAAAGAAACAGTGTGTTAGTCTCTTCAGATTACTATAACGAAATATCATAAACTGGGTGACTTACAAACAACAGAGATTTATTCGTCATAGTTCTGGAGGCTGGAAATCCAAGATCAAGGCTCTGGCAGCTTCACTGTCTGGTGAGGGCTGCTTCCTAGTTCATAAACAATTTTCTTTTTGCTATCATCTCACTTGGCAGAAAGGTGGATCTCTCATAAAGGCACTAATCCCATTCATGCAGTTCTACTCTCATGACCTACTCACCTCCCAAAGGCCTCATTCCCAATATCATCTTCTTAGGGGTTATGATTTCAAAATACGAAATGTTGGGGGGACACAACCATTCAGACCATAGCAGCTAGAAACACCAGTAGAAATTTCACTTTTACCACTTGACTTTCTCTGGGTATGGAGACAAGCCTCCTTAAGGTGCTCCTATGAGTCAAGTGAAAGTGGCTTTAATCAATATCTTTGTGATTTCTAAATTTTTTTGACAATTTAATTTATTGTTTTTATTCGTCTGGGATAAATATTTTCGATTCTTTTATGAAATTAAAAGATATTAGGGCGCCTGGGTGGCTCAGTCGGTTAAGCGTCTGCCTTCGACTCAGGTCATGATCCCAGGGTTCTGGGATCAAGTCCTGCATCGGGCTCCCTACCCAGAGGGTAATCTGCTTCTCCCTCTCCCTCTTCCCCTCCCGCTCCTCATACTCTCTCTCTCCCATGCTCTCTCTCCCTCAAATTAATAAATAAAATCTTTGAAAAATGAAATTAAAAGATACTGAAATCAAAGAATTAGGAAAGTTGCTAAGAAAAGTTGCCAGTTTCTGTGTTGGTGGTATAGAGTTATGGTGGTATAGTGTGTGTAGGCAGGTCTGTGAGTAGAGGAATGCCATAATAAAGGTGGTATTTAAAGGAGACTGTCCAGCCACAGGCCAGAGTCAGGAACATATGCCCTTCCATGATGTTCCAGACTGCTATGACCTTGCTGATTTTTCAGCCTCTGTGAATAATTATACAGTATATAAGCAAGAATAGATGGGTGGGTCAAAATAAAATGCTCTTAGCCATAAATATAGAATAATTTGCCCTAATAGGAAAGCAATGATCAAAATTCATATAAAAAAAAATCTTGGATGTGGTTTCTTCCTTGGAATTAGAACTTTTAATATATTAATGTACATCTTGAAGGTACAGGAAGAGCCTTATATTTCAAAAGATGCTAATGTTTTATGGAATAGAGTTTGGAGAACACTGAGTTGAACTACAGCATAATGTATTTAGGTTGGAGATAATTGAAAATTAGAATATACACTAGCAGTGTGTAACGAGAATGTGTATGAGTCTACTTTTGCATATCCTCAAAAACAGAACACAGTTGTCTATATTTTAATCCTTGTAAAACTGTGATTTTCAACAGAGGCCTCCCTTGACAAGGTAGTAGCAGAATCTCAGTTGGATTTTTTCAAATGTTTTTTCTGCATCTGTTGAGATGATCATGTTTTTCTTTTTTGAGTTTGTTAACATGATGAATTCCAGTGATTGGTTTTCTAATGTTACACCAAGCCTACATTCCTGGGATAAATCCCACTTAGTTATGATGTACTATACTTTTAATATTTTGTTAGATTTGATTTGCTAAAATTTTGTTTAGAATTTTTATATCTGTGTTCATGAGGGATATCAGTTTTTAAGTTTATCTCTTTTTTCACATGTGTGGGAGGGGCAGAGGGAGAGAGAATCTGAAGCACACTCCTGGCTGAGTGCAGAGCCCAACCTGGGGTCTGATCTCACACGACTCCAAGATCACAACCTGAGCTGAAACCAAGAGTTGGATGCCTAACTGACTGCGCCACCCAGGCCCCCCAGTTTCTAAGTGTCTCTTACTGTCTTAATATCTTTGTTTGATTTCTGGTGTCATTGTAATGCTGTCCTAATAGAACGAGTTTGGAAGTATTTCTTCCTCTATTTTTTAGAGTAGTTTGAGTAGAATTATTATTATTTCTTCATTAAGTGTTTATGAGAATTTACCCTGAAGCGTTCTGGGTTTGAGATTGTCTTTGTTGGAAGGTTGTAAACTACTGTTTCCTGAACAGATTACAGTTTATATCATTACCTTCAATTCCAGTAATTGATTATTATTATTACAGTACCACAAAGTTGATTTTAGTTTTCATCTTTTCCATATTTTGTAACCCCCTTCTCTGACAATGAACAATCTGTCTCCTATTATCTTTAATATATTTATTTATTTTATTAACTCCGCTCTATGTAGTAAGCCATTCCCTTTGCCAGTGTTGCCCCCTTTCCCATGCAAATGCCCTCTTCATCCCGCTTGGGTTCTGTCACCCTACCCAGGGTCGCAGCTGCTCCCTCCTCCCATAGGCTCCATCCCCTGTGGATGCCCTCCTCAGCCCACCCAGGCTTTCACAGCTGTGCCAGGCTACCCCATTGCATGGACATTCCCTACTTTCTCTTCTCCTTCACTTGTGAAATTTTTCCTGCCAACTGAGTCCGTTTTATTCCATTTAAACTCTGTGTTGTCTAGTACATAATTCGCAATTAATAAATACTTAATAAGTCTAAAAAGAACTACATTTTTAATGGACACATGGTATATCAACACTCTGAAAAACGTGTTAGTAGTAACAGAATTGCCATAGTTTGCATTCTGGCTCTGCTGTTGACTAACTGTGCAGCCGTAGACAAATTAAGTAAACTTCTCTGAACTTCTGTTTCCTAATTT